CTTTCACCATACTGAAGACAGAAGTTCTGGTAGCATTTAGATTTAAATGTGAAACATAAAACAATAACACTGACATTATTTAGAATTAGATCTTTGTGCAATCAAAGTAAAGAAAAGTTTCTTAGATCACTGAAAGCAACAAGTACAAAGAAAATACCGACAGAAAAAGAAGAGAAACCAAAGCAGAGCACCAAATGAACCCAAATTACAGGCAAAAGAAATGCATGGGTAATTTTAACTGGGAAAAAATGACTAGGAAGGGTCTGGAGGAAAATTAAAGAAGTGTGGAGTATGAGAGGCTGAGGGAAGAGGCTGCTGGGACGAAGCTGTGTCTGATGCTGCCAAGAATCCCAACATTAGAAGGACTGTGAAGTGTTGCTGGATTTCATGAGAAGGACTGGGTGCTGGGGAGGGCAACGGGACTGGGGCAGACTGCAGAGGTTCGGAGTGTCAGAAAGAGTGGGAGTAGCTGAGCAGACATGCTTTCAGGCATTTTGCTTTGGCAGACATGGTGAGAGACAATAATCATCAAAGCGGGGAGGAGGTAAGAGAGGTTAGCGGTGTTTATTATGAGACAGTGTGTTTCATGTGACTGAGTGAAGCTGCAGTGAAGATGTGACTTGATGAAACTGGAGGTATAAGAGGAAAAGAAGGCGAGTGACAAGAGAAGGATGTCCCTGGGAAGCAGGGGGTTGTGGGATGGGGCTGAAACACAGTGTGGGGATTTGGGCTTAGACAAACTAGGAGATGCTCTCTGTGGATAAGAGGAGGATGGAGGAATGGATATAAGCAAATGTGAGGTAGTTTGTAGCTTTCAGGAGTGAGATGATTAACATAGTTTGCTTTTCTAAAATATTGCCAGTAACAATCATTAACACTTGCTAAGTACTACATGATTCTAAGGATTTTATCTGTATTGGCTAATTTTACCCCCTGAACAGCCATATGAGGGGCCATTAGGTTATTTCAATCTTAAAGCTTAGGAAAAGCAAACATGGAGATATGTTAGCAAATTTGACCATGGTTATATGTAAATGAGATTCAATCCAGCTAAGCCTAGAGCCCACTCTTAACCACTACCTCACCCAAGCTTTGTCTTTACCGTCTTTAATGGAGATGGTTAGATAATGGAGGATATGTGAAAAATGCCCCCTAAGAAAAAGAGTGCTTTCTAGGTGGGGCTGGAGGCTCCAGGGAGGCTGGGGACCAGAACAACTGAAAACAGTCAAGTCAGGAACAATCAAACACTGGACTGTTCAAACCACAGAAGCTACTCAGTGCCATTTTGGTAATTATGTTGCTATGAGTTCGTTTTCTGCTTGTTTTGTTTTGTTTGTATTGCAGTAGTCTAGTGTGCATCCAGGGACACTCCACCACTGAGTTACCTGCCCAGCCTTTTTGTTTTGAGACAAGATCTTGCTGACGCTAAACTTTGAGTCCTCACTCAGCTTCCCAACTCTCTGATATAAAGGTATATGCCACTATGCCTGGCTTCTATTTGTTTGTTTGTTTTAGAAAATGTGTCCTTTGGAAGAATTATCCTTGGGGAAAAGTTTAGGGGGGAAGTTGCAGGTCCCAAATTGCTTTTGAAATGGGTAAGTAGTGGACAAACAGGGTCTAACAGGCCTATGAACAGAAGAGGTGAGGCTAAGCCACAAGGGAGAGGAGGGATGAGATTGTGCACCTACTGACTGAATTATGCGACGTTAATTTTATAGGAACACCTTGTCTGGGGAACTGCAGAGCTGTCAATGTTATTTATATCCCTCTTCAGACACTCAGGGGCCCTGTGTGAGTCAAAAACCGTGACTCACACTTCCAGCCTCCACGAACAGGGCAGAGGTACATGTCGTCCTGATCTCCACAGCCCCTTGCCCCTAATGTTTATGCTCAGCAAACTCAAGTTGTTTGACTGGTTGACCAAAGGACTGAAATCTTTCCCACGCCCAGTCTAGCTTTTAAAAGACAACACAAGTTTGGAACAACCTCAGAAATTATCATAAAAGAGAAGAGGGTCTCTGAATTTTCAGTGTTCAGGTCACGCTTATGAGGTCAAATATGGATCAGATGTCAATGAACCAGAGTGTTCACCAGGAACACAGAGTGATAATTTACATTTGGTTAAGTATAAATGTATTTATGCATAAGAAGTGGACTAAACTCTCATAAATTACCAAGGCTAAAATAATTGTCATTATCTAAGAAACGGTTTAGGATTCATTTATATATAACGTTCAACGCTTTGATTAGCTAAAATGGGAAAAGTCAGCCAGATTATAAACATTACTAGGAAGAATGTCAAAAAAACAAGACTTTACCCTTATACTTCATTTCTTACACACTTAAAGTTCTATACTAAATAAGCACTACTCATTACTTCTAGAAAATAAGTATATAAGTATGATGTGTGGACTACTTTTTCAGAAAGAGCAATAATATACCTGAGAGAGTAAAGTCTAAAGTCAATAGCTTAAACTTGCCTTTTCTCGGCTGCTAGGATGGAAAATCACAATCTGTTGAAAGGATACAAGATAAAGGGTAGAGAGATTTTGCAGAGGAAATGGAAACAGAAAATTCAGTCAAGTTAGAGGATGAAAGACGTTAGGATGATGTGGGAGGAGAAGATTGCTCTGAATGAAAGTAATGGACTCCAGCTCTCTTGTATGATACAGATGTGGTGGCTGAAAGGACATTACTAAGCCTCTTTTTTTAAATGATAATTTCTCAGGTTGTTCCAAACTTTTTTTGTCTTTTAAAAGCTAGACTGGCATTTGGTCAGGTAGTGTTTGTAGAGAAGGTTAGGGCCATCTTGGATTATTAAGGAAGATAGGTATTTTCAGGTTATAATGTCAGTGTTTGAAAATGGTGAACTGTTTTTCTATAATGTGTAATTTGTAGCCTTTTCAGACACCAAGCCCCAGATTAAACAAGGCTTTATGCATGTTTGGAAACTATCAGGGGAACCCAAAACATGAATTCCTGAAACCTAAGATGCACCCTTACTAAGACATAGACAGAAAAAAAAGCTCAGAAATTGCAAATGATTCAGGGCTGCAATTGTTTAGTTTTGTCACACTAAGGCCTCTTTCACAGGAGAGAAAAAGAGAAAGACTGAAAATCACTTTTTCTTCAGATGATCACATGCTTTTGCCATCTCACATGAAGAGAGAAGTTTTTTTCTACTTTAGTGGAGAGTTGTGCAATTTTTCCATCTGTTCATCGTATGAATTCCATGAAAATGGTCAGCTGATCCCTACAGTCCCTTCCCCATTCCCCAGACATCCTCAGCTAGAGAGGCTGCTGGGTTGTGATTGCAGTATCAGGATTTCTTATTTTTGTGTATGTCTGCTAACCACGATAATCATAAAAAGATGTGACAGTTCATTTACAATCATGTGTCATATGGAATAACTCCCACATTTTATGGTCTTAAATGTTTGGCAAAGGGTTCTGCCCTTATGATTAGTTTTTATACACATTTCTCTTTGTAAACATTTGCCATTATATGGGAGCAATCCTGTACTTTTAAAGGTTTTCCTGTTTTGTTTTTGTCTCTCAATTGTATCTGGAAGCCCGGGAACTCTACTGCCTCTTTGTTTTGGAATAGCAGCTATATAAAAATTATATTTTACGTGTTGCTCAATAGAGTAGGGGGGAATATTTGATGATTTTCTTTGTCAGTCTTGAGAATTAAACCTAGGTGAGCTATACCCCCGCTATTTTTTATTTTGAGGTAGGGTCTCACTTAAGGGGCTAAATTGTCCAGGCCAGGCATGAACTTCTTATTCTCCTTCCTCAGCCTCCCAGAGTGTTGGTTTCTTATTTTTATGGAAAGAAGCATCTTTCTTTTTGAGAACACTATTAGTGTTCTCAAGATGAACATGACTTACCTTGGAATGCATATCTGTTCTTCAAATCTGAGGGCTATCAGGCCTTACAGCATGCATAGCTGCTTTTAAAAATTATTTTTCATTTTGAGCACTACAATGAGTGGAAATCAGAATAGAGGGGAAAGAAAATGATTAGATATGCTTTGCAGTGCGAGACCACCAGTGTAGAACTGGGAATCAGAATAACTTTCTGAACTTAGTAAAGAGAGGTTTTCGTTTTTTGCTCTTTGAAATATATATATATATGGAAAAAAAGGCCGAGCATCTCCTTTTGCGTGGAATAGGAACTTGAGAGCTGTTCTGAGCCCAAATGTCCTGTGATCCTTGAGAGAGGGAAGGCAAATGCCCTGTGAGCTTCTATTTACAGTGTGACTTCTTTTTTAATTTTATTGTTTTTTATTGGTACATATTTGCAACACATAATGATTATTTTCCTTGTGGGATATTGGTATCTATACACAAAACTTGTATTTTTGTCTCCTTCCTCCTCCTCTCTCCTCTCTGTCCCTTCCCTCCAACTTGTGGTCCACAAGGAATTCTTGAGGAATAAATACATGCACACTCTTTGGGGCCAGGATGGTAGGGAAGGAGAGGACACAGGCACTGATTTCACACAGGCAGTGGTGCTTTTTGTGTTAGATTAGTATGTTTGGGTTCCAGCACCACTTAGGGAGCCCCTGCATTGGGTCACAGACATCTCGCCTTCATGTTTATGTTGCTGTTAGCTACCAAGGTGAAATCTCTTTGGAGAATGGAAGCTGCTTAACTGAATGTCCCTTTCCTTCCTGTGGCAAAGAAAATGCATGGGGCCTGAGGTTCACTTTCTGGGAGTAGAGAAGAGAAATATCAGTACTCTCTGAGAAAAGTGAAGAATTAGGGAGTGAAGCACATGTGTGTACCAGAATGTTAGAGGCCAGCACAGCAAACATTGGCCCAGGGAAGTGGAGGCAAGATTTACAACTAAAGCCTGAACTGAAATTGTGACTAGAGAAATAAATAAAAAGAGAGCACTGTGGTTCCAGGGGCTAAATTTTAGGAGGGCAGGTTTTTGGGAGACACAAACTAGTTTCTTTGATCCTACTATGAGAGACATAGAGCCACACTGGGATCTTTGTTTTAAATTTTTTTTATTTTAAAGAGATTAAAAGAGGACATAATAAAGCATATAAGAACAGAATAATTTAAGCAACACAGTATTTCACCACAAGACAACCCGATATATCAGTAGCTACCATAATGTCTCTTTCTTTAAAATGGTTGAGTATATCTTCATACACAATAGAATCAAATATAACAAAATACTATAAAACAATTAAGAGTGAAAGTATTACAAGTTATTCAGAACCAAATAACAGAAAATGAAAAATGGTTACTATATTATTTCACTGTCCATAAAAGATTTGTTTGTACTATCACACATAATAAAAGCCAATAATATACAACATGATAGAACCAAAGGAAACACAAGAACAAAAGCATGGTAGGACTTCAAAACAAGATGATATTAAATCAGCACTGGCTATTATAATGTCTTGTTTTCTTCAGAATATCTGCTCATACCATCACAGATATTAAAATCAAACAACCCGGGATAAAACCATTCCAACTAATGAATGGAAACATTATAAGGCTTCAAAGCAATGTAATGGGGAATCATGATTACCATAAAATCTTATGTACTCTTACCATTTCTTACACTAGGGACACTACAATATTTGTACATGTGAGTTTGATTTATTTTGCTTATGAGTATGGTCTCAGGTTGTGCCCATTTATTTATAAATATCTCAATGTGATCATTCTTTATAGCTGAGTAGTACTCCATTGTATAAAAATACTAAAAGTTTTTTTTATCCATTCCTCAGTTGATGGAAACTTAGGTTGTTTCCAAGACCTGGCTATTACAAATTGTGCTGCTATAAACACAGGTGCACATGTATCACTGTGGTATGATGCTTTCAATTCTTCTGGGAATATGCCTAGAAGTGAAATAGCTGGGTCAAATGGAATCTCCAATCCCAGCGTTTTGAGAAATCTCCAGACTGACCTCCAACGATGGCTGCACCAGTCTACACTCCCACCAAAAGTGCAGGAGAGATCCTTTTTCCCCCACAGCCTCTCCAGCATTTGTTGTTGGTAGTTTTCTTGATCCTGGCCATTCTTTCTGGAGTGAGATGGAACCTCAGTAGGGTTTTAATTTGCATTTCTCTAATGACTAATGATGATGAACATTTTTTCATGTATTTCGTTGCCATTTGTATTTCTTCATTTGAGAACTGTGTATTCATCTCAGATGCCCATTTTTGGATTAGGTCTTTGAATTTTGGGGGTCTGATTTTTAAAAATTCTTTATGTTTTAGACAGAAGTCCTTTGTCTGAGGGGCAGTTCACTAAGATTTTTTTTCCCAGTTTGTGGGTTTTCTTTTTACTATGCTGGAGATTTCTTTTGACGTGCAGAACGTTTTTAATAAGACATGATCCCAGTTATTGATTCTGGGAAGTATTTCCCATGCAATTTGATTCCTGTTCATGTATTCTCTACCTACCCCTATGTCTTCAAGATTTTTACCCAATTTGTCTTCCAACAGATTTAGTATTTCTGTTTTAATATTTGTATCTTGGATCCATTTAGATTTTGTTTTAGTACATGGTGATAGGCATGGGTCTAGTTTTAGTTTTTGGCATATGGAGAGCCAGTTTTTCTATTTATTTCCATTTATTAAAGAGACTGTCATTCTTCCATGAACGTGTTTGGCCCCTTTATCAAAGATAAAGTGGTTGAGTGTGTTTGTAGTTGTGGCTATATCTTCTAATCTATTCCATTGATCTTCAGATCTGTTTTTATTCCAATACCATGTTGATGCTCTTACATTTGCTTTGTAGTATAACTTCCAGTCAGGGATTGTGATGCCTCCTGCCTGGCCTTTGCTGATTAGAATTGTCTTTGCTATTCTATGTCTCTTCTGGTTCCAGATGAATTGTAGGAGTAATTTCTGTAGATCTATGAGATATGATGATGGTATTTTCATTTGGATTGCATTGAATCTATATAACAATTTTGGGAGAATGTCCATTTTCACAATATTTATTCTTCCTATCCATGAACAAGGGATGTCTTTCCATTTTCAGAGATCCTCTTCAATTTCTTTTTTCAGGGCACTATAATTTTCCCTATATAGATCTTTTACGTCTTTCATGAGATTAATTTCTAATTTCATTTTTTTGGATGCTAATGTGAAAGATGTAGCTCTTATTTCTCTCTCAGTGATTTTGATGTTCGTGTATAGGAATGCTATGGATTTTTGAGTATTGACTTTGTATCCAGCTACATTGCTGAATTTATTTATTATATCAATGGACACTTTCAATGGAGTTTTGGGGATCTTTTATGTAGAGTATCATGTCATCTGCAAGTAATGATAATTTAACTTCCTCATTTCCTATCTTTACTCCATTTATTTCTCTCTCTTGTCTAATTGCTCTGGCTAGTATTTCCAGTACTATGTTGAATAGGAGTGGTAATAAGGGACATCCTTGTCTTGTGCCTGATTTTAAGGTAAAGACATCAAGTTTTGGCTATTTAATATGATGCTGGCTGTTGGTTTGTCATAGATAGCCTTTATCATATTGAGGTAAAGATCATCTATTCCAGTTCTATAAGGTTCTTATCATGAATGAATGTTGGATCTTATCAAAAGCTTTTTCTACATCTATAGAAATGATCATATGATTCTTACTTTTGGCTTTATTGATATGGTGGATTACATTTATTGATTTATGTATGTTGAACCATCCCTGCATGCCTGGGATGAATCCCACTTGGTCATGGTATATAATCTCTTGATGATTTGCTGCATCCTATTTGCTAATATTTTATTGAGGATTTTTGCATCTGTGTTCATTAGGGCGATTGGCCTGCAGTTCTCTTTTTTAGTTAGGTCTTTCTCAGGTTTTGGTACTAGAGTAATATTTGCTTCCAGGAATGACTTAGGAAGAATTACTTCCCTTTCGATTTCATTAAAGAGTTTGAAGAGTGTTGACATTGAGTCTTCTTTGTATTTCTTGTAGAATTTTGCAGTGAATCCGTCTGGGCTTGAGCTCTTCTTTGTAGGTAAGGACTTAATTAGGTTTTCAATTTCATTAATAGAAAATGGGTTATTCAGCAGTTTTACATCTTCTTGACCCAGCTTTGGTACTTCATATGTTTCTAGGAATCTGTCCATTTCTTCTGTGCTATTGAACCTATGAGAGTAGAGGTTTTTGAAATAGGTGTTGATGATCTTCTGTATTTCCACAGAGTCTGTAGTGATTTTGCCTTTTTCATTTCTTATTGCATGAATTTGAGCTTTTTCTTTCCTTTTTTAAATAAGGTTGGCTAGGGGCTTATCGATTTTATTTATTCTTTCAAAGAACCAACTCTTTGATTCATTGATTCTTTGGATTTTCTTAGTCTCCATTACATTAATTGGTGCTCTGAATTTATAATTTTTCCCTTCTTTTGGCTTTGGGCTTGACTTGCTCTTCTTTTTCTAGATGTTTGAGGTGTAGCATCAGGTTGTTTACTTGTATTTGTTCTGTTTTCCTGATGTGGGAACTCAGTGCAGTATATTTTCCTCTGAGGACTGCTTTCATTGCATCCCACAGATTCCAGTAATTTGTATCTGTATTTTTGTTTGCTTGTAGGTATTGTTTAATTTCTTCTTTAATTTCCCCTGTGACCCATTGATTCTTCATGAGTATATTATTCAATTTCCATGTGTTTCTGGGGTTTTTGCAGTTTCTTTTATCATTAATTTCTAGTTTTATGGCGCTATGATCTGATAACATGCATGGGATAATTTCAATTCTTTTGCATTTATTTAAATATATTCTGTGTGCTAGTATATGGTCTATTTTAGAGAATGTCCCATGTACTGCTGAGAAGAATGTATATTCTGATATTGTTGGATGAAACACTTCGTATATGTCTGTCAAGCCCATTTGCTCACAGGTGTGATTCAGTTTTGTTATTTTTTGTTGAATTTTTGCCCGTCTCTTGGTGTCATGGTGTGTTAAGGTCTCCTTTTATAATCGTGTTATTGCTTATTTGATTTTTAATTTCTATGAATACTTGCTTTGTATAACTGAGTGCTCTGGAATTTGGTGCCTATATATTTAAGACTGTAATCTCTTCCTCTTGAAGTTTTCCTCTAATTAGTATGTAGTGACCTTTTTTGTCTCTTAGGATCATTCTTGGTTTTAAGTTCACATTATCTGCAAACAGAATAGCTACCCTTGCTTTTTTTGGGGTTCCTGTTGCATGAAGTATTGTTTTCCATCCTTTGACTTTCATTCTGTGAGTTTTCTTTTGGGTTAGATAGGTTTCTTGTAGACAGCATATGGTCTGATATTGTTTCATGATCCATTTTGCCAATTGTTTCTTTTAATTGTTGAATTGAGACTATTTACATTAATGGTTATAACTGTTATGTATTAGTTTATTGTTGACATGTTATCTTTTTGCTGTTGCATCTTTATCTTTCCATTCTGTTTAATTGTCTTCATTGTTTAGTGGTTTTTTCCTAAGTGTATGTAAACTGTCTTTCAGTATACTTTGCAGGGTTGGCTTGGTGATCATGAAGTTCTTCAGCTGTTCTTTGTCATGGAACTATCTTATTTCTCCATCTAGTTTGAAGGACAGTTTGCAGGGTACATCAGTCTCAGCTGGAAATCATTTTCTTTAGGATCTGAAATATTTCACTCCATGCTCTTCTTGACTTCATTGTTTGTGCTGAGAAGTCTGCTGTAATTCTGATAGGTTTTCCTTTATAGGTGATCTGTCTTTTCTCTCTGGCAGCTTTTAATATTCTATTCTTATGTTGGATTTCTGGGATGGTGATTATTATCTTTCTTGGTGTAGTTTTAATTTGTTATGGCTGTTTGGAGTTCTACATGCTTCACTAATCCTAATGTCAGTTTCCATTCTCATATTTGGGAAATTTTCAACTATTACTTTTGTAAATAGCCTCTTGATATCATTTTGTTTTGACCCCTTCTTTTTCATTTATCCCTATCAATCTTATGTTGTTTTTCTTTGAATCATCTTGCAGCTATTGAATTGTCATTTCCTGATTTCTTGTTATTTTTAAAAGATCTTTCCTTCCTGTTCACTGGCTGCAATCTTGTCTTTGTGGTCTGAAATTCTATTCACTTTCATTGAGGTGGTTTTGACAACTTTCAATGGAATTTTTTGTTTCCTGTGTATCTCTTTGAAACTGCTTCATGTATTCTGTTTGTTTTTTATGTTGTTAATACAGGGATTCTTTATTTTTGTCTTGTTCCTCTAGTTTTTAAAATTGTGTCTTCTTTAGATGTGTTCAGCATCTCTTTTATTACTTTTATCATTTCTTCTTTTACCTGGGAGATTATTTCTAGTTTGAATTCCTTTAAATCGTCCCAGAGTTGCTTCTTTATTTCAGCTGCTATTACTTCAGGTGTATGGCATGTATTTTCTTCTATGTACATGGCTCCTAGGCTTTCTTGGGATGGGCTAGACGTTTGAGATTGCATTTTGGTCTTTCATTTTGTCATTTTCTATATTTCCATGTTTCAAGAGATGTCACAAGACTTCCCCTGGGCATGTTGGAAATTTTCTCCCATGTCCTGGGCTCCTGGGACTGAATAGAGGTTGCTGAGCATGGTCCAGTCAGGCCCATAGGACCTCCTGTGCCACCTCCAGTGTTCCAGGAAGCTGGGTGGGCATCTAACCTCTGTGGATGAAGGTCCAAAGCTCTCCCTGGGCTAGGACCAATGCGCTGGAACTCACTTCATGTGCCCTCAACTCCCCTGATTGAAGAAGGTGGCTGGGTATAATCTAGTTGGGCTGTAAACCCTCCCAATCCTAGTGTAGTGTGGCTGGAAGCTGGGTGGGTCCTTAACCACTGGGAGCGATGATCTTAAACTTTCCTGGGACTTGGGATGGTGTGCAGGAACTCTCCCCCTCTGGGAGCCCAGGTTCCTGGATTGAAAGAAGGTCTGTGGGTGTGGCCCAGGCAGGCTGGAAACCTTCAGAGCCCAGTCTAGTGTGGCTGCAGGCTGGGCGGGTCCTTCACCATCGGAAGCCATGAGCTTAAACTCTCCCGGGGCTGGGGATGGTGTGCAGGAACTCACCTCTTCACATGGGCAGCAGTGCAGTTCTCTCCTCTGGGGCAGTGCAGTTCCCCGAATTCCACAGTGGGATCTTAGAACACAGACCTGAGGGTATGTTTGATGACTCCATTTTCTGGCTAAGACTTGCCAGGTTGTCTTTCTGAAGCCCATCTCCCTGAGATATTCAGGTTGTTTAGCCACTCAAGGTGGTTCAGAAGGCCAAAAAACTCCTGGCCAAACAGATGAGCCTCTTTCTAGGCACAAGTCTAGATGATTTTCCCATGAGTGAGATATGATATTTTGAAATCAAAACAAAACTTTGTTAAAACAACAAATATAAAGTTGGAAAAGGTTTAGAATTATTTATTTAGCTAGATAATTCATGGGCAGAAAAATTTTTAAGAATCATCCATCATGGAATGTGGAGTAGCGAAAGGTGAAGCCAACCCCTTCCTGTGAGCTGACCCGTGCACAGGCTGGGAGACAAGAAGAGGTCTCCCACTCACCACATACTGTAAATAACTGGCTGATCCAGAGGAACACAGGCTGGGATGATTAGCTACTGAGGTAGGGAAAAAAACCTTAATGCTTGTAGTGTTTAGTATTTGATTGACTTTGCAGGCCTAAGGCTGGTGGTCTAAACATCTATTTGGAGGATAACAAATACAATATAGCAAGTATGGGGGATTTCCTTCTAAAGGTGGTAGCTATTGTTAATTATCTATTAACTTGTTTAGAAGTTCTGGATCATTTTCATTGCTTGGTTTGGTTTTATTTTGTTTGATTTTATTATAATGGATGGTTTGGGCATCTATTTCAAAGATAACAAGATTTATTATGGTAGCCATTGTTGATTTCCTGTTATGTTGTTTTGAAGTCCCGTTTTTCTTGTTTCATTTTGATTGATTTTATTCTGTTCTATTTTGTTGGATTGTACTATGCCTAGATGTGGGCAGCTAATTTTGAAGATCATAAGAGGCATTATGGTAGCCATGGCTGATTTCCTATTATCCTGTATCACTTTCACTGTTTTGTTTTGATTGCCTTTATTCTACTTTATTTTGTTTAGTTTTATTCTTTTTAAAATGAAATGAAAGAATCACCTGTCAAAGAGAAGTTACAATTTAACTTTCTAATTTTCTGCTGTTCCCAATTACTGTCCAACATAACTACTCATGTTTACCGAGCCCCAGAATGCTCTGTGATTTGTTCCTAGCTCTTGAATTTATGGGGCCTCTGTAAGTTTTTTTCCTTAAAGCATTCACAAAAGCTCTCTGTACATGGATTAGGAAAGACCATGTAAATGAACTTGACAAGGAAGGACTTCATCTACTCTCACTGCTTTTTCTTCCATCTTCTTTAATCTAACAAAAAGAGAAGGGAGAATTCCAGCCTCAAGAGAAACTTCTTTTGTTTTGTTGTCATTTTTGCTTAAAATATTTATCTCTTCATTCCTCATGGCCTCCTCCAGCCAAACATTGTGCATGTCCTTAACACTACCTCACAACATAGAGAATCGGTCAGAGGAACCTGATTGATAGTGAGGTTTTACAGTGTTTATTTTTAAAATGATGACTCTTGACAAATACACTCGTATTGAGGTATGGGTCATTTCCTCTATCCCAGGATGTCCTATTAGCTCCCTTTTGATCATGTCACAGTGCCCAGAAAAGTAGTGCTTTCCATTTCTGTAATTAGTTTTGCTTTATCTCGAATTTCCATATCTATAAAATCATGGGATATTTACTGTGTTGTGTTCAATATACTGTGTTTCTGATTTAACTGTGTCATATTTATAGTTTGTTCCTTTTATGGTCTTTGATGTATATAAGGGGAAAAGAGTTGGTTTAAGTAGTTGTGCAACTTATTATGAAGATTTTAATAATCATCTGACTTATCTTTGAGTGCACTCTGGCATATTCTCTTAAATCAGACTAAAATCCTATGGCATCTATGGCTGAAGCAAGTTGAGATTTCTAAATGACTTAAATTACATTGAAAAGTGAAATAAAGCACTGGCTTAGAATAAAATGCATGTGCTGGACTGTAAGGCACTGACTGATTTTAGAACTTACTGTTGTCGTCAGTTAAAGTTATGTATGACTTGACTCACATTAAATTACTCAACCAGAACTAACTACTGAATGCTATAATTTGTGGATTAGATCTCATGATCTGTATCATCGATTCCTTAGGCTTCATGTTTATAGTGTCTAGCCATAAGATTTATGCCAATGATTCTAAAAATCCTTGTGATTTCTGATCAGTTATAAGAATTCCTAAAGAAATTTTAATTTTAATTATGAGGAAAAGGATTAGGAAAAAATGTTATTGGTCCTTTGTTTGAAATAGACAAGCTTGCCATGACTCCTCTCCCCGTCAATTGGTTAATCCAGAAGGAATAAGAGACATGTCCAGAAAGCACTAGAATGGGGAGTAATAGCAACTTCTTGGGGGCTCCCCAGGGAGAAGAGTAGGGCTTTTAATGGATGAAAAATCGAGGTTATTCTAGGAAGGACAGAGCTGAGCATATGTCAAAACTATTCTACCCACACTGCACATCAACTCTCAGTCCTCACAGAAACTCTAGTTGTTCATTTCTTTGTTTTTATAGACAAGAACACTGTATAATTTTACCCAAGTCTAACAACATTGAAGCAGTGGACTTGGCATTTGAGTCCATGTTTGTTAAACACCCAATCCTTAACTAGATGGCTATTCTGCTGAACTCGCCCATCCCTCATGGCTTACATGTCTCCTTGGTGGCTTCCATGAACATCCTTCCATGAATATCCTGGTTGCTCCTCATCTTCCCAGAGGACTTTGGCTTCCATGGTGGCTTCCATGAATGTCCTTCCATGAATATCCTGGTTGCTCCTCATCTTCCCAGAGGACTTTGGCACAATGGCTACAGCTTGCTTCTCTGTCTTATATCCTGCTCCAAATTCTTGGGTCTCTACAATGTGAACAACAAACCGTTTAAGTCCTTACATACTTATTTCTGGTGTTTTCGTCTTTCCATTTCTGGTACCCAATTGCACCTCAACATCTCAGATCTTGTCATCAGAATCATAAGCTTTCACAGAACTGTCTAGACTCTTCCTCATAAACCAGGCCTGCCCCCACTGCTAGTAGATCCTTGAGAGGAGTGTAGTGGAAAGAGATGGAAAATTATAGTTAGACCTGTGGTTAGACTCCAGCTGGCACTTGATAGGACTCCATTAATGTACTGTGTTTACTATTTAGATAAAATTAGTAACTACGCATAGGAGTCAAGAAGACAGAATCCAAAGTACGAGATTTACTACTGAAAAACAAATTTGAAAGACACCACTAGGTATATGTGTGTTTGTGTGTACATCACAATGGTCTTTCTTATTCCAATCTCCAAAACTAGAGGCATTTGTGCACACAATTGTAGGTTTCACTGCACCCTGGAATTCCCCACACCAACCAGGGCCAAGACTTCCTCAACAATTATGGCACGTAGGGGAATGGGTGGTATGTTCCCTGCAGGATAGCAGATCACAAATAGAGAGAAACTGAGCAAAATAGGTCCAATTCTAGGAGATGGAGAGAAACCAGGGTATTATCCTAAGCCATCTACTGGGAAAGAAATCTCAGAGAGTTTTGCTATCTGATCACCTTGTTGAAACTCAATACTCATCTCTAAAAATGGAGTTACCTGTATTTACTTCTCGGGACAGTTATGAGGAAGAAATGAGAAACCCCTATTTTCTCTAGGCATAGAGAAAGCTCTAGATAGCTGATCGCACTGCAGCCTGGAGACCATCCCATCATGCCCATTCACCCTGGCATGAATTCAACATGTAACCACAGTAGTTTCTTGTGCCATATCCCTCATCCCATGCCACTATTTATACAGATATCTTTCTCCCTCATCATTTCTTACTCATCACTGCTTGACATGGGCATTTATGATGAACAGGAAATGACTGTGGGAGGAGGTAATGAAGACTTGGAACCAAGTCATATATTCAGTAAAATTGATTGAACACTGACAATGTGCCCAGAGCCTTCTGGGCCTTGGGGCTGAGAGACAATGCTCTGCCTGCTGGCCTCAAAATGCCTTTCGAGGCCTATTGCCTCCAATATCCTGAGTCTCATTTCCTTCTCTGGTGCCCCAGCTCCTGAACTGCCACACAATAACATGTGTCAGGAGATTCTCAGTCATGGTCTTGTCCAGTAGGCTAAGAGCAGAGGGAACCAGAAGGTAGAAACCCCACCCACAAGATACTAAAAATGAGCACATGGTAAGAAGTACTAAAATAAATTGGCAGTGGGAAGAGAAGAGGGGAGGGATTTCAAGAGACACACAAGAAGGGACAGAGAGAAAGAGGGACAGCTGAGGAGAGGTCAAAAGCAACAACAGACTTACCTGTGATTGGAAAGCCTGGGTAGGACCTGCTTTGAGCAGTGGTCAAGGATGGGGATAGAGGATTTGGTTTTGGATGACTGAATTTTCACAGACAGCTGAAGAATTTCAAGCATTCTGAAAACTAGCTCTCAAAAAAAGGGTGGGGGGTGTGTGTGTGACTGGGCCTATGTGAAGTCAGAATTAATCGATAATCTATTACTATATGAACTGAAGTCTCAGTCTGCTTAGGGGACCATGGCAGGATATCACATGCTGAGTGGCTTCAACAATGGGAATTTGCTTCTCACAGTTCTGGAGACTAGAAGCCTAAGACTGAGGTGCTGCAGGTTTGGTTTCTCCTGTAGCCTCTCTCCATGGCTTGTCTATGCCCTTTCCTCTGTGCCACACATCCCTATCATTTCTTTCTTTTCCTTAAAGGACACATGTCCAATTGGATTGCAGTCTGCCCATCAGGCCTCATTTTAACTTAATCATTTTTTCAAAGGCAATGCCATCAAATGCACTCAAAAAGCCAGGCATAGTGGTACATACCCGTGATTCTAGCACTCAGGAGGCTGAGGCAAGAGGATCACTGCAAGTGTGAGGCCATCCTGTGCTACAAAGTGAGTTCAACGCCAATTTGAACTAATAATCAGACCCTGTCTCAAAAACACACACACACACACATGGATTAGGAACCAAACATGTGACCTTGTCTTTAACCTTACATCTTTAAAGGATTTCTCTCCAAATATAGTTATATTGAAGGTTAGGGCTTCAAAATGTGAATTTGGTTTTTTGGGGGTGGGACATAATTTAGTGCATAACAAATTGTGTTTAATGAATATCTTCAGTGTAAATGTAAATTGAGTATCCCTGAATATTCTTCAGCCTTTGGAAATCTTTTCTTTAATTTCCAGTAAAATGCCACTCAAACTCCTCAGCAGGAAGTTCATGTGTCCTAGTATTTCCCTCCCTAAATTTCCAGAGACCCCTCTAGCAATGCCTATGCATTCCCATCAACTACCAGTCACCATGGTAGTTTCTTGTTCTGATCCCCCCTGTAGACTCCTCTGTCTTCAGATCTTGTGATTCTTTCTCACTTCTTACCCTTCACTTACTTACCCAAATGGTGGACATAGTTACTACCTCAGTTCCCCCAAACTCAGCTCTAAATAAACTTGATTGTTCATCAAAATATTAACAAAGGCTAGATTTTAACAAAATGTAAGAAAGACACACTGTATCTGTGTGGCCTTAAGCAAGTCCCTTAAACTTTTTGTGCCTCAGTTTTTTCATCTATAAAATGAGTGTGATAAGAGTACTTTCCCCATATGGTGGGTTAAATATGTTGATTTATCCTGTAATTGTTTTAAACAGTGCTTCAATGTGTTAGCTCTTAGTATTACTATTGTTTAAAGTGATTACTAGTTTTTTAATATATCTGATGACACAGGACAACTTAAGTCCAAACCAGGTGTCACTGCCATAATTCACAAGTTGGGCTTCAAATGTCTCCCACTGGATGTCCTTCTGTACTTGTTCCCACAGTGAGTGTCCTAAAATTGTCAAGATTTCTGGGTTCCCCAGTATAAGTTACTGCCCTGCCCTGCCCTGCCTGAGTCTCTGACCCTGCCAGAGTCCAGTCAGAAGAGGAAAGACACTCTCTGCATTCTCAGAGGCTGTAGACATCTGGTTCCACCCACCTGCCAATATTCACTGTCTGAAGCACCAGCCTCTGGATGGCTTCCCTGCTCCAGACCCTTCCTTACATCTCTCTGACACTGATCCAACTCCCTCACCCCAAGATCAAGGAAACATAGATTTCCTTCCACTTCAAAAGGAGGGGAGATGGTAGACCTCCAACTCAAAATGCAGAATCACTTATAATCTCCTAAATAGTGATTTTTTCCAACTTGAACAATTTTAAGATACTTAGCAAACAAAATGGAGCTTTGCCATGTGCAATGAGCTTTTCCACAACTGGTGTTTTTCCCTGCACTCAGGTCCCAGAGGGCAAGGCAGAGCCTCTCACCCAACCCAACACAGAGTCATACACGTTTACCCCCAGTGTTCACATGTGGTCTGGAGTTTCCACAGCCAAAAACTAATTGGACACTCTTTCAGGAATATTCATCTCCCTCTTGTATAACAGAGTTCTCCAGTCATCTGTTTGCCCCATCCCATGCCTCAGAGCTGAGTAGCACAGTTGTCCTCAGACATTAATGTCATACAGATGTGCTGCTGCTATATTCCAGTGAAGACTGTGAGCTAAGATGACTTTAATACACTTCTCAATGCTAATAGCATTCTGCATGCACCGAGGGTTTGTTGTGGGTTAAAGCAGATGCTACGCTGTGAACATGTCTAATCTCTGACAGTAAAAGGCATTTTTATCCTTAATTTATGGATGAAGAGCTGCAGAGAAGTTGAGATTGCCTAAAGCCACAGGACTGGTAAAGAATGAACCAAGAAGTCACACTGATGGTTCTTTGATAGGACACCTTCCCCTTTCCTGCTATGTAACATCATTTTGATCTGCAGAAAAAAATCATCAGGAAGAATAAATTCCTAAATTATCCGTCATAAATCACAGTGAAACCAGCTCCAAACGCAACTGAACAAACCGCAACTCTCAAGGTGTAGAAGTTAGAGGCAAAGGCTTAGAAGGCACATTCCTTTATAGATTTTTTTCTTACAAATGTAATTGGTTTTTAACCCATCTCAGCATTTGCTTTCCTTGTCTCCTTCAGGCTGGGAGACTCTATATCCTCACTTCTTTCTGTATGTAATTACTCTACTCATTGCTAGACAAAATCCCTGACACCCAAGGTTAAAGAGGGAAGGATTTATTTAGCTCAGTTTGTAGAGGTTTCAGTCCATCCTTGGCTCCAAGGCAGGGTGGCACATGGTAGAGCTGCAACAGTTCATGGTGGCAGAAGATGGAAAAAACAACAAAAGTGGAGGCAAGAGAAAGCCTCTTCCAGTACCTTGTATTGGAGGCTACTTGTCCTCGGTTGAGTTGAGTGCTAACTCAAACCCCCAATCCCAGGACTGGACAATAAGCCAGTCACAAATTCTAGATTAAGCTGTCTCTGAAAAACTCACCCCCCGCCCCATGACCACATGAGGCTTTGGGAGGACATCCAGACAAACCATAATACTTACTGGAAGTTGGAAGAAAGCTTTTCCTCCTCTTGCATGGTTTGCATGGGATAAACTCATCAATCCAGTTCACACCAAGCATGCCAGAAGGAAACACAGGTTGAGAGTTGCAGGTTTCAGTTCCATCACTAGACTGAGGAGACACAAATGTTTCTCTTTACTTAAGGTTTCTCTTCTAAACTCTAGAATCATAACCAATGGTGATTCAATATTTACAGTTAGATATTTCACACTATCTCAGTGCAACTTCAATATTTCTCCTCCTTCTGTAAACATAAACCTCTCATTTTTCCTCATTTGAGCAAGTGACATCTCCATATACCAAGGAGACAAGGAAGAATTTTTATTAGAGAATGAGACAGCCAGACATCTATCTCCAGGCAGACCATCCCAGTAACAATCTCAGGTTATAGTTTCTGTATCTGAGAGAAAAGAATTGATTTGCTGGCTACTAAGATTAATTGAAAAAGCTTCCTGCCTGATTAGATCCCTTTTTTATACTAACAAAATAAAATCATAAAATAATAGAATCTATTTATAGAAATTTCTACTAGGTTTATCTCTTCAAAATGGGAATTTGTAGGTCAAGGACTGCAAGAGTGGGAATTTTATGATTCATTTAATGTTATGGCCTAATAGACATTATTATCAAGAGCATAAAAATACTTACTTTGATAAAACAGAAAAACAAAATCATATTCTACTCACATAAGTTCAAATTGCAGAAAATTTTCTTGTAGGTAATTGCATCTAAAGTCTTAAAATAGCAAAAAAATTTCAATATTTTCTTCAGACAGTAAGAAAATTCCAATATAAAAGGTGGTGGTATTTATAAGTGGAAAAAAATAGAATTTACACAAATCTAAAAGAAACTCCAAATAAACTAAGAGTAATCTATTTCATGAGATAGCACACAGCTATAAACACGATGACATAGAATTAAATTTAATGTCATGAAAAGACACAACATATTAGGAAGCAAAAGGGCAAGATATATAACAATATGATTATAGGACTCTGTATCTAATTATTACGATATGCAGAAAAAATTATCAGGAAAAAAATAAAATCTTAACTAAGGTTTATATCTGGGGGGGTGGGATTTCAGAAGCTCTCTACCTATATATGTGTATATACAGTAGTATCGTGATGTATGAACTTAATTCATTCCTTGATTCTGGAAAAGATGGCCATGTTCATGTTTATGTGGGAAAGATGGTCACAGTTGTGTTCATCATTAATGCAGAGTACAATAAAAAAAAATTTGCTAAATGCTTCTATTTGTGAACCAAACTGTTTGCAAACAAAACCATTCCTGAACCAAGGTACCACTGTATGTAGACATATATGTATGTGTATATAGAGAGATATGCATCTGTATACACATATGTATTTTATCTGTCTATATATTTTAAAAATTTTTTTATTTTAAAGAGAATAAAACCAAAAAAATAAAAGAGTAAAACCAATCAGAACAAAAAATAAAAGTAATTCAGGGCTTCAAAACAAGGTAATAAGAAATCAACAATGGCTACTACCACATCTTGTTATCTTCAAAATAACTACCTATGCCATCAGGAACAATAGAATCAAACAAAATAAAACAAAAACAAACAAAACAAAATAATGAACATGATGCAGGACTTCAAAACAAGTTAATAGGAAATTAGCAGTGCTCACCATCTTCCCTTTTTGGATGTTTCCTTCCCTTTCACATTCACAGTATCTGTTGTGAATCGCACTAACTCCTTCAGTTTTTTATACTAAGGAGACAACATGATATTCACGCATGTGAGTCTGAACCGTTTCACCCATGAGCGTGATCTCAAGTTGCATCTACTTACCTACAAGAGCTTTGAGGTTGTCCTTCTTTATAGCTAAGCAACTTTTCATTGTATAAAAATATCATACCTTTCTTATCCATTCTGCAGTCAATGGGCAAGCTACCTCTGCTTTTTTCTGGGTCTCCACTGCATGAGCATTGTCTTGTCTATTAGGACTTTCAGTCCATGAATTTCTTTCAAGTCAAATGTATTTCTTATACACAGCATATTGATTGATCTTGTCTCCTGATTCACTCTGCCATGTTTCTTTTTATTGGTGAATTGAGGCCATCTACATTAATGGTTACGATCAACACACACTGGCTCATCTCTGCCATGGTATCTTTCTGCCATTCGTCTCCTGCTTTTTCCCTTTATTCAACTGCCTGTTCTGCTTGACAGTCCCCCTCTGCTACTATTCCTGGAACCATCCATAATTATCTTTCTCTCTCTCTAGAATGTCCTTTGGCACTCTTTGTAGGGTTAGTTTGGTGGTTATGAATTCCCTCGGTTGTTCCCTATCATGGAAGTATCTTATTTCTCCATTAATTTTGAAAGATAGTTTTTCAGGGTATATCAATCTGGGTTGGAAGTTGGTTTTTTTATTTTTTTATTTTTGGTACTGGGGATTGAACTCAGGACCTCATGCATGCCAGGCTGGCGCTTATGCTGCTGAGCTAAATCCCCAGCCCTCCGAACTCTTCTTGACTGGATAGTTTGTATTGAGAAGTCTGTCATGCTTCTGATTGGTTTCCCTTTGTAGTTGGTCTGTTTCTTTTCTCTAACAGCCTTTAATATTCTGTTCTTGTGTGGAATTTCTAGAATCTTGATTACTGTATGTCTGCGTGTAGATTTATTTTGAGTATGGCTAGTTAGAGTTATGTATGCCTCACTATCTCTGTGTCAGGTCTTTTCCCCATGCTTGGGAAGTTTTCTGCTATTACTTCTGTATATTGTCTTTTTATGTCATTCATGTTGATGCCTGCCGTTGTGCTGACACCTATTATTATTAATTTTTTTTCTTTATGTCATCTTGCCACTGTTGAATTGTTATTTTCTGGTTCCTTTTTATTATTAAGAGATCTTTCCTTTAACATTCACTAGCTGGACTCCTGTCTTCAAGGTCTGAAAGTTTATCTTCAGTTTCTTTCAAGCAGTTTTGCCAGCTTTCAGTGGTGTTTTTAATTTCCTGGATATCTCTTTGAATGTATTTCATGCATTGTATTTCTTTCTTATATTGTTCATTCAAGGTTTTCATTATTTTCCTATGCCCCTATTTTTTAAACTATGTCTTCTTTAGATATGCTCAGCACTTCTTTCATTATGTTTATCATTTTTTTACCTGAGATATTTTTTATGATCTGATTACATTTTAGTCTCATGAAGGTATTTATTTACTTCCATTGCTATCTTCTCAGAAATTTTCGGTGTGTCACTTCCAATTTATTCAATGTCTATATTTCTTAGACTTGTTCTGTGTGGGCTGGAGGTCTGAGATTGCCTTTTACTCCTTCATCTTGACATTTTCTGAACAAGCCAGTTGTGGGGTCCCAGGCTTCCCATGTTGGCTGCCCATCCACAGTGAGGGGAATAGGTAAGGAACCTGGGTTTTTCCTAAACAAGGTTCCTGGGGAGGTGGTAGGTACAGGGCGGGCTTCTCCAGACATGTGTGGCTACACTGAGGCTCCCTCGATGGCAGCAGGCACATGGGAGCTTGGCTGGCTGGTTCTCCCAGCCAGAGCTGGCTTCCAGTTCCTGATGGCAGCTGGAGGGCTGGTGGGGAATCTATGTTGGGTTTCTTCTGATGTTTACAGTTCTGTGATAATGTCTGTGTTATAACCTAGTGATGTGTTGGGCATGGAGCTGATCTTGGCCTTTGGATGTGGGTGCTGGGACTGGTTTTCTGTCAGTGGAGTTCTCCAGTGTCCAGCTGCTGCCGCCTTGCTGCTGCTTCAAAACTTCCACGTTACTGGCCTTGCTGATTACTTCACCCTCCAGAGGTGTGTGTGCGTCTGTGTGCTTGATGTTGTCCTGAGTCTTGGAGTTACTGTAGGTCTTACACTCTTTCAGCTGGATTGCATTCCCTTAGGGATGCAACAGAGGAGGTCTAGATTGCAGAGGTCTTCCAGTCCTCCCTCGCTTCAGGATGTAATGGAGGGGCATAGAGAGCAGATTCACTCTTCCAGCCAGGCTACCCTCCTGGATGTAATCCTGTTTATATACTTTTAAGTATTTTTTTTAACAATTTGAGTAAGTTTTTATTATTTTTATAATCAAAGTCACATTCTGTAGGAGATAATTTGAGCGACTCTACTTGAATATAGAATAATTGCTACAATATTAGTCTTATTTTCATATACTGATATGTACAAAGGGGGCTATAGTATTCCCTTCTTCATTCAATTGGCTCTAAGCAATACAAATAAGGCCGTGAAGTACTGAAGCGTAATCTTTGAGGCCATTCTGACAGTCTCCTCTTTCCTCACATGGTGCTCTCTGTGAAAGATCCAAGCACAGTCAGCTCTAGGAATGTCAACTGGTTATTAGCCTCGAAATAAAGAGGCTATGAGTCCCAGGGCACGAAAGTTTGCATAAGAGAAACTGAAGCAACAGACTCCTAAAACAATTCAAATGCTACTTTAATTGAATTATGCAAATTGATCCTTCTGCATGTCATTCTCCCTGCATTTTGCAAAGATGCTTTTCTCCCCACTTGGCTAGCCAGCTCACGTTACTCACCATCCTCACTGTCAGTAATCCTTGCACCACCCTCTTCTTCACATAAACTCTGGGAAAGGCCTTGGATCAAAGCCTTTGTCCACATATCCTCACTTGGATTGGGTTCAGGACCCCTTGGTTGCCTTTAACTTTGAATATGTCTTGATGTCTTACTCTCACTGTGGATTGCATTGCAAGTGGTAGATTGGAATTAGCTTGTTAAGATTCCAATAATGTCTCAATGAGATTACAAATATAACCTTTTAGATTGTGAGGAATAGTAGAAAAGGGATTACAATACTTGGATTACAATATTCATTATTTGGGATTACAATAACATTCAATAAAAATTAATTCACTAAAAAGCTTCAAAAATATTTAAATACTAATAGTAGTGACTATTTCTTAAAGAAAATCCTAGTGATTAGATGAAACTCCCTACTCCTTGACATCAGTGATGAAACCTTCTGACATTGCTCATGATCCAACACTTCAACACTAAAAGCAGAAGAGCGGTTCCCCAGAAGACATTCCCTATGTGGACAATGGGATGTGCATAAGTTTGCAGAGACACACAAAATCTGATGGTCTCCAAGATACCATTCACTATTTTGATTTTTCCATAGATACTCATTGCTCTGTGGGTTGAGTGATAAACTGTCAAGGCTAATACCATGGCCCATGCACCCTAAATTTTGAAGAAAATGCAGCTCTGTCATCAAATGTTTCAGTTTTATAACCTCCTCATTTCCTGATTCCTATTCTTGAAGTATGTGACCCCTTATGCTATCATGCGGGATAAGGAGATCTGGAGCATGGATGTCAGATTTTTGTTTCAAATATTCTTATACTTTTATATGACCAACATTTTCTTGCCTGATGTCCACTGTCCTTTCTGTTGGCGAGTTGGTATACAAGGGGTGATTGACAAATATGGCAAATGTTTAAATAAAATTTTATTAGAGTAAATAACTCAGTGCCATTAATTGCCATCCAAATACTTCCCCTTGCTTTGGACACACTTATCCCGTTGTTCTGGTCACTTCTGATGCTATTCTGGAAGTGCTCTTTCACATGTGTCTTTATGATGATAATCAAAAATAGAGTGAATGCTGCTCCCTAGTTCCATCCAGTGGAAAGGCAGGCTCAAAAAAACATGTATTTTCATCTACCTTATTCATAGGATCTGGCGCTGTGCAAATTCTAGCTTTTCCCAAAAGTCAAAAATGATCATTAAGGTAAAAATTTTGAATCAGTTTGGGACATTGAGGAAGCCTTGACAGCTCAACTAATGACATTCACAAAAGAGGACTTCCACAGCTGTTTCAGAAAGTGTAAAGAATCATGAGATAAGAATGTACAAAGGCAGGAGAAGTATTTTGAGGGAAATTAATGGCAATTTATCTTTTCCTGTAAAATTTACACATTATATTTTTTGATCATACCTTGGGTGTGTTAATGTGGGGTTTAGTTTCCAAGTTCATGTTGTACAATGGAAACTTAAGAGCCTCATATGGAATACATGTTTTCCAAGGAGCAATGTCTAAAAATTAAAAAGAAATGTATGAAATTAATTTTAATAATTTTTTTATACAATATATCCTAATGTTAACATTTCAATGTGTAATCAAGATTTAAAAAAACTAACCTATGTTCTTTGTTTTTTGTTTTATCTTGATATTATTTTTGTAAAGATATGAAAGTATTTACAATCATTGGTTTTCTTCCTTTTCTTAGGTAAATGGTTACATAGTAATGGATTATTTTGCACCTGGCCTTTTAACTTTATATATGTGGAGATCAGTTCATTGCAACATAAAGATATTTTATTCATATGTATAGATTCATAGTACTTTACTGTATAGATATTCCATTTTAACCAGCTTATTGTTCATAGGGCATGTGTAGTTTTTAATCCTTTATTGTTAGGTGGTTTTCCAGTGAATAGCCTTATGTAAATGTCATTTAAATTTTGTCAGGATGCTATAAAAATGAATTTACAAATTTCAAGATTCTAGGTCTACTATATACAGGATTCTAGGCTTACTGTATGAGGAATAGAAAACAAATTCAAGATGTAACCTTGAGTCTCGAGCACTTCATTGACACACGGAGTGAAGCGGTGGACGTTAATGCTTGTATGTTGTAAGAGCTCTTTTCTTTGTCACCTTTCAGAAGCGGTCCTAACAGGCTGACGTCTTTTCTGATCAAACTGTGGGAGGACCAGTTCTGGACAGCCCTTTACCTTGTCCCTCGCTATTATCCAAGCCCACCACCTGCCAGGTGAGACTAAGGATCCTGAGGACCCTGTGGCTCTTGGTCTGCTCGGCTGCTGACTTCTCCTTTCAGACTGGGAATGAATTCTAATCATTCATTTTTAACCAAACCTCAAATCTTATACTGCGGGGCCACTTCCGCCATCCTGACACATTACTGGTCCTGGGATCTTAATAATAATCATAATTGAACTATGAGTGGTGTCCTTAGATTATAAGTTTCCTTTAAGCAGAAATGACATTCTTTATTGCATATTATTCCAAATTCAAGAACCTTTGAGTATTTCCCAAATTTTACAACCACCAGCACTTGCAGGGGAAGATCCTTTGAGCCAAATGCTCCTCTCTGGTTGCCATATTCTGTAGCAGACACTGATCTCCTCCCAGGCTGTATTGCTTACTACAAAGGGAATTAGTGTGCTTTCAGGCAGTGAAGACAGGGTTTGCCTTTAGATTTATTTTCACTGTAAGCCTTTGAAGGGTAAAGAAGAATTGCTATGATCCTGGTAAAATGCCAGTTAGGTGACTACATCTTTAAAAGTGTATGTATGTATGTATTTTGGTACTGGAAATTTAACACAGGGTCTTAACAATTAAGCTACATCTGCATCCCTTTAAATTTTTTTTTTATTTTGAGACAGGGTCTTGCTAAGTCACTAAACTGTCCAGGCTGGACTTGAACTTGCAATCATCCTCTTGTCTCAGCTTCTCAGATTGCTGGGATTACAGGTATGAGCCAACATGCCTGGTTTAGACTATTTTGGAATAAGGAAGTCAAGGGGAGAAATAGGTGCCCCAATAATGCTAATCAGAGTTAGTTGCTGAAACATGTAGGCTGTAACAGCAGTGGGAGCTGGAAGATGGCCCACAAGCAAGTAAATTTTGTTTCTGTTTTAATTTTTTATTAGTACATGTATGTTTCTAATATATAATGATTACATTTCTTATGGGGAGCTGGTTCATGTGCATGACACATCTTAAAAGTTATTCACTGACACTGCATAGGAAGGGCTATTTCTTTTTTCAGTACTTCTCCAGAAAGACTTGAACTCAGATACAGAAATAAAGCATCAGAGGCCCTGCAGCTATTCCCAGCTGTCTGATTGCCAAGCTAATATGGCCTTGAACAATGCTGGTTCTGAAGCTGGCTGGGAAATTCCCTCCTTTCAGCTGTGGGATGATTAGAACTCAGATGTTTCCTGAGGACTGGAACCAAAAGCACAAGTCGCAGCTTGTGAACCAAGGTCAGTAGTCACATCCCCAGATCTGAAAAGTCCAGAAAGTACTGGTGTCCTTGATGTCTTCAGCCCAACTTATAGGTCAATTCTCTTCTCACATGAGCTATGGGCAAAGAAAAGCTTTTGCCAGAGAAAACATTGCAGAATTGAAAACTCATCTCTGACAAGGTTTCTACCAGAACACACTTGTTCAATAAGTGAAACTGAAGCGAAGCCAGGATATTAACTCTTTGGCTTTGTCTAATGAGTTATCGAAATTTGGCAGGAAATGAGAGAAACTAGCCCATCACTAAATTTCCTGAATTTCTTGGAGGAGTTCTTGGGGAGGTAGATATTGTGAAGGCCCTTTTTGAATGTTCCCAGTCTGATGAAGGACAAATAGGATAGAGGATAAAACACACACTAATTCAACCCTGTGGTACCCACAGAATGTAGACAATTTTAGCAAAGCAAAAAGGAAAAATAACTACATGATGACAGTGTACCCTTGGAAATGGATCAGATCTCTGTGGGAAGTTAGAGGCTGAGGGGAATTTTGAAGCCCTCATTTATGAGAAATTTCCTGAAAGAATAGGTTTTGGCATTTTAGTAGTAACCAAGCAGCTGAGTTCCTGGGACCAACTGAAGGTGAAGATACTTTAGCAGATTTTCTGAGAAGGTGTGAACGGAATGATGAGAGATCTTTGCCCAGTTGGATGCTCATGCAACACTTGTTCATCTTTTGATGACATTTCTCAACTCCTGAAACATAGCAATTTCTCAACTTCCTTCACCCTATATGGGCAGGTGGAGATAACCCTGTTAACAGTGCCATGGCTTCCATAAACTCTGCCTTCTGCCCTTCCCAGATTTCACTCCTAAAGCACTCAGAATACCCAGGAACATGGATTTGGCAAAGAAACGATAAACTAATCCATGCTTTGGGGTAATTAAAAACACAGGGCAATGGCTAGTCTGTCATATTTCACAGTAGAAAGAGCCTTTTTAGAAGGTAATCAGATACATTGTAACTGATGTGTAAAAATAGGGTGCTTTGATTTTGGGAGAGTTCATTTTACTGTGGTAAGACATAATCTCATGCTTTCAGAAGCTTCAAGAATGCTGACATGTTTTAGATGTTAGATTGTTATAATTTTTATGTCAAATAACGGTTGTAAGGTTTAATTTTTTTTTAAAATTTTTGGCAGTACCGGGGATCGAACTCACAACCTCGTGCTTGCCAGGCAGGTGCTTATGCTGCTGAGCTAAAAAATCCCCAGCCCGGTTGTAAGGTTTATATGTATTACCATTATTCTAATTGTAGCCTCAACCAATGCCATGTTTGATTGGTACTACACCTGAAGTGGCTTTAAAATATTGTCTCATACCTAGAAGTTGATACAAGTTCCTACATGATCATATTAACAAAAAACTTTGATATGCACTAGCAGAGAAACAGAAGGATATGGTTTAAAATTTAATCATTACATACAATGTGTTTCAAGTGGGACAATTTGGAAATAATATAACTAGGTGGTTACTCTTTAACAAAATGTAAATACACATGATTTAAGACTCAAAATCCAAGCAAACACATATATTGCAATGCACTAGGAATTCTATATACGAGTGATGTTTATATTCCTTAGAGCCAAAGTGGCCACCTTCCTTTCTCCCATCCGTCCCTCCTTCCCTCTCTCCCTCCTCCCCTCCCTTTCCTCCTTTCCTTCTTCTTTGCACATTAAGTGACCTCATCTCACAACAATCTTTTCTTCTTTCCGATTTTCTTGCCAGTGTATTTTTTCTATCCCTGCGGAATTAGAATTTTGCTGCCATGGCACTTCTCTGGGCATACTTCAGTCGAATAGATCTGTTTACTCCTAAAAGTGTAAGTGCCTTCTAAGTTATAAAGCATGGGAATTAAATAAATTAACTCATATAATTTTTTAAAGTTCAGCTACCAAATAAGCCTGTTTTTGTTCTCCACTAGAAGCAGTGGGGGGTGGGGGTGGTAATAAGTCTGCCTTTTGCAGATTAATACACAGTCCTAACATGTCCTTTAATGCTTTCACAGGCCTACAGCTGGGAAGTGTATTTCAGAGTTTGACAGATGATAATGCTCTCTCATCAAACATACAAGTGAAACTGAAGGTATTTCCTGTGTTCGTTTCCTTCAACATTAACCAGCTTGAATTATGCTAACATTTCAGACCCGGCCTCCTCTAGTCTATAAAAATTCTACTTAATTTTCTTCTTTTTTTTTCCGTAGGCTAAGATAATATCCATATTGTAAGGGGATAAATAAACTAGGTAGGAGAAGAAATAAACACAAGTTGCCCTTATAGAATTGTGTAAGGTCCAGGGAGTGCCAAAGAAGAGATTGTTCATCCTCCTGGTAAAGAAGAGCAGTGTCACTTGAGGGTCTGTCATGTGTCTCAGAAAATGGATGGTTACAAAGGTTATTTCTGTTACAGAAGGATTAATGTGGGTAAAATTCCAGAGATTGAAACAAGGTGGTTGTCTTAGTTCATTAACTATAGACTGAGTACTGCCGAATGAATGCTTTATAAAGAATAAAGGTTCATTCCAGTCATAGTTGTGGAGGCTGAGAGCTCTCAGATCAAGAGACCACATTTGATGAGCACCTTCTTGCAAGTTAGGACTCTCTTTATGGTCCCAAGGATACACAGCTGTCGCTTGGCAAGAGGGGAGCCTAAGAGGTGGCCAAACTAGCTTTTATAATGGCTCCAATGTTGTGATGACCCATTAAGGAATGAGTCCATTAATATATGAAAGGATTAATCCAGCCATGAGGGGAGAACCTCCAGAGCCCAATCATCTTTCAAGGGTCCAGCCTCAGATAGCATTGACATAATTAAGGACTTTGGGGACTAAGTTTCCAACACAAGAATTGTGGGAGATATTTAAACAATAATGTCCTCTACCGAAATGTCATCTTAATGCAATATTGTGTTTTTTTCCACAACACTCTATCCTCAAGAGTTCATAGAGATCTATATCATTCTTTCTAGATGCTCATAATGAGCATC